ATAATATAATATAAATTATAATTATAGCTTATATAATGTAAAATATATATTATAAATTATATTAAATAAAATATCCCAAATTAAATATGATATTATAGATATTAAAATTTTGATATAATTATATTATATTTTATATAACAACATATATTATTATGTCTAGCATTATATATTATATATATTATATAAATTGTTATATATTATTATATTATATAATATAAATTATAATTGTAAATAATATAAATTATATTTCATAAATTATATTTAATAAAATATCCCAAATTAAATATGATTTGATTCAGTTCAATTTTCAACAATTGATGGATAATATAATTAAGTGGTTGTATGAAAGGAAAATTTAAATCAATGTCGTTCAGTTTGCTTTTGCACAAATACCGTTGTAAACGTATTAACCTTGCCCTCTATTTAGGGGTTAATAATATAAGTTAACAGAACAACCGCATTAGTCCTGGAAAGAGCAGTAAGAGTTACTGGAGTTGGGTAACGTATTTTCCAGAAAAATCATTTCAAGAGAGAGTTTTCATAAATGTCGATGTACTGACTTCTCGGTCAATGGATACAAAACGTTTTCTTGTAGAGAAACGGCTATTATCAGAATAAGCATTCCTAACAGCGGGGCTGACTAGGATCTCTCGCCTTAATTAGTAACTAGCTTAAGAGACAGAAAACTCGGAATTCCAAAACCAGCCTGAAGGTAAATGTACTGCGTCTGGTTTATCTTGCGGTAGACACCGCTCTGCTACTTCTGCAGTCCATGTGCTCCACGAAAGACAGAGATTCGATCACTGATGTCAAATGGTGCTCAGAGCCAAAGAGTTAGAAAAAGGTTCCGGATTTTTTATGAAGGACGTACTACTGACTACAACCGAAGATTTTATAGAGGTTTCAAGCCGTTAAATTTCTATTAATTTCTGCGTTTGTGATTCTGTAGCGTCAGTCAACGAGGTACAAAGAAGGATGGTCCTCGCTCTGACCTACATGTTTAATTCTTTTGAAGCCAGAATGTTTTGATGGACGCTCGGGAGGAGTTTTTTGGCTGGTAAGCAAGTCTTTGGATGCTGTACATGTTCTTGTCTTCGCAGATCCGGTGGGCAGGGTCTGTATGCCGGATGTTACTATAAAAGTTAAGGCTCTTCGTATCATTGGGCTGTATGCGCCCAAAGACCATGTTGAGCAGCCTGATTTGTTTCGCGCCGTTTTTGACGATATTTTCATCGAGTAGTTTTATCGGGCAATTGGAAAGCCGTCCTCGACCACGACATAGATCATATTGATGCTTATAAACTCTAACGAGTCAGGGGAGATGTGATGTGACGAGATACAGTTAGGACATTGATGAATTTCGCTTCACACGCGACGTCAACATGACGCACAAAGAGCAACCATCGTGTTCAAAAGTATTTCCCTCACTTTGATTAGAAATATAACGAAAAGGTTTCGATCCCAAGCTGCGCTATTCTCAAAATCGATAGACTTCTAGAGCGTCGACGCAGCCTTTTGGGCGATTGATAATCTTCTACCCTACACTCCCTTTCCTACAGAAGAAACGTTTCTATCTTTTTGCTATAGGATCACTATCCCTATGGCTGGTCTTCAGAACAGCTAGCTACATTCCTTGGTTCCACCAGTTCAGGCATTCACAGCAAGGATCCACAATGCCAAGTACAATATGTTGCTAAATCATCTTTCCCTTCGTCTTCCATCGGTAAGTAGGAATACCCATCCGACCAGCTTCCGATCAAGGACTGCTACTTTCTGGAATAGATTCCATAGACGATGCTTTGCTGATCACTATAATTTTAACCTTTTGAAGAATATCTTTCCTACATAACCTCATACACCTACACATCTTACGCCCTCTTCTCCTGCTCGCTCATACAACATCATTCAGTAAACTTCTACTTTGAGTGGCTCTTGGGCTTTGTATCTATTGAACAATATTAAAAAAAGCTGTTATCGATCTTTTCAAAATTGATGGGTACCTCCTTCCTAAACTTATGTTTTAAGTAATGGAGAACGCCGACTATGTCATGCTTTTATCTTTGAATCACATATCCTACTCGTTTTAGTTGTTGATGATGTTGAAAGTCCACATGTGATGTGGTTTCTCTTATTTGCTATTGTTCTGTGTTTGTGATTATGTAGCGTCAGTCAACGAGGTACGAAGAAGGATGGTCCTCGCTATGACCTACATGTTTAATTCTTTGGAAGCCATTTTTAATCGTTCATCTGAGAAAGCGTTTATATACAGCTGACAGTTTAGATATTTCTGAACGAATGCGTCTTTCTGTCTGACATCCATATGAGAATTTCAGTCTGTGAAGAACACGACACTAGTTCTTAGGTCAATAATTTCATTATGTAAGACTTGCGGGTTTAAGGTTATATAGCGTTGAAGCACAGGTTTCCATACGATCACCGAAGTTAAGTAACGTCGAGCTTCGTTAGTACCTAGATGGGTGACCTCTTAGGAATGCCAGGTTCTATAAGCTTAGATAGGCGAGTATTTTGCAGAACAGACTTCCAGGGTTCCCTGATGACTGTGACTTTAACATCATCAAGTCTTGTGTCACCCGGTATCTATCTTCCTTATACACATAAAACCATAACCTTATTCAATCATCCTCTAGCTTGAGTTGCTCTTGGGCCTTGTATTTAGAGAACAAAAGAATTTAAAATGCACCAAATTGCAATTTTCTCTGGAAGGGCGTAAAACTGAAACGGACATTAGTGTTACTAGACGACAATAAAGATGACATCCTTTTTGAGGAAGAAAGGACAAGATGACTCTATGAATGTCGACGAAATCGATGATGACGAAGATATTCATTATGTGACAACATAGATGGAAATGTGATGACGATTATCTTTGATATGGACAGCAAGGTACTAAATTAATATCCGCTATATAATAATTACCGTTATGTATTTATTTATATCTTTCGTGTCATGCTCTATAGTGGGAAAGGAGGTAAATCAACTGTTTCTCCCCGCAAACATTCTGTAATCTTCGATGAATATTAATGGGTACAATTTTTTCAGCACAGAATACAAATCTAATTCAAGCTGAGAACCTTTTTCTCCCACAAAAAATATTCTTAAACAATATACAAAAATATTTTCTATTAATATACATCAGCAACCAACATAAATTCAACCAAACTTCTTTTAATTATTATTGTAATTCTTCCAATTTTCGAATAAGATGTTGGATATCAAGATCAACAATTCTTCAGTGTTGTCAGTTAATTTCGACTGTCTCAGATATTATCAAGTTCTGTCAAATCAAATGGCGTTAGTTTGGTTAAATTTAAATCCGTCGTTCCAAACAAAAACATTCCAGGATGTAGCCGCAACATCTTGTTTATTTCGCTAATAAGCACCCAATTCTTCATAATGACTAAGCCGATCCACAGTACTTGAGTAACAACAGAGCAGAACAAAAAAAAGAACTTCTGACCTTTTATCCACAGTTTTGATCCTGATATACAAAATCGTTTCCGAAAACTGGAAAAAATCAGTAAAAACATTGAAGAGACTGATCTTGTCGGCCGAATTTATATATATATATATATATATATATATATATATATATATATATATATATATTAATTTAAAAAAACCAGACAACTTTAAGGTTCCATAAGGTTTTAATTTATTTCTCCAGGGATTTTCTTGTTCCCTGGATCATCAGACCTCACTTTCAAGGATGAAAAAATTGAATTTAAACACATTTGAAGGGTAGTATTAGCCAATGTAAGGTGATATAGAAACGGATTACCAAGATTTTCATTACTTATACATATATAATATATATATATATATATATATATATATATATATATATATATATATATATATATATATATATATATATATATATATGTATATATCAGAATGAAGTATTTATGCAAAGAATTAATTAGCAATGTTAATGGGATTTATGGCGAAATAACTTCGCTAACAAGCCTTAATGAGACATTATTACAACCAATTCCTTGCGTAATACAATTCTTATATTTGAGTTGTCAGCTGGATTTGACGAGCTAAGTACAATTTCCAATTGTCATCTTTGGGGCGCAATGTTTTCATATACAGGCAAAACATTAAGACGAAATATGTGTAGTGTAGACCGAATTAGTATTGTTCAAGGAATTGATAGTAAATTAATGTCTCATTAAGTCTTGTTGGCCAAGTGATTTAGACATTAATCTCATTAAACTTGTTAATTAATTCTTTGTATTACTTCTTTATGATATAATATAAAAGTTGCACACCCTAATACATATATACATACATGCATACGCACACATATATATATATATATATATATATATATATATATATATATGGTAACTCAAAAAACTTAAACACGTGTACTCACTAAAAGGAAGGTCTATGGTAATAAATAATGTCGGATTAAAAAAGAATTTAAAATATATATATATATATATATATATATATATATATATATATATATATATATATATATAAAAAGTGAACATTGAAGTCTGACATTGAACACTTTATCTTATAAATATAGCACACCTTAAAACTATATTTCTTCATATATATATATATATATATATATATATGTGTGTGTGTGTGTGTGTGTGTGTGTATGTGTGTGTGTTTTTTGTTCATAGAAATATCGTTAATAAAAAAGCAATTACAGTTCTACAGTTTCTTGTTAGCTATGCCTCGTCGATAAATGTAATTGCAGTGATGTGTAGCTCATCGGCTTCGTTATTTTGAAGAGTGCCAATGTTTTCTTTTTATTTATTTACGCACTTATTTATTTATTTTGCCAAAGAAAATGTTCACTAAGGGACCGGAAGGAGTCTAAAGAACTAATCGATATCAACCTTATTTTTTTTCATGTCTTTAATTTTTGTTTTCTTTATCAGACATATTCAACAAAATGGGTTGACGTCGATAATCGTGTCTGGTCGTCCCGTTTGTCTTCACTTCCGGGGGAACACTCTCGGGAAGGGTGTTTCATTTTTTGTAAAGTACAACGGACTGACAAACAAAACAAAACATTAGACAGCAAAATAACTTTACCGATTGCCTTGTTCATTTAAGCAGATTTCGGTCAAAAAAAAGAAAGAAAATAATTATTAAATCAGTCGGAACCACGAGAAATTTTGCTTCTTCTATATTCTTCTATAATCACTTATAATATATTTGCATGCACAGATATCTAGTTATTTACGCAGTCCGTTATATCATTGGAATAATTGTTAAATCAACTAGCTTAAACGCTAGTGAAGGTGGCCGTTAAGATCACTTCTTATCTACAAAATTATAATTAGTTCGAAATAATTAAATAAGGGAAATAAATGTTTAGCTAGTCAAGCTCCAACTATATTTAACCTGTAAAGTTAGCTTTAATTGTTGTTCTACTAATCCCTCACGAGCAGGAATCAAGTGTTACATGTCTAAAATGTAAAATATCTGGAAATGTTCATGATGGAAGAAGAAAAGAAAAATAAATTATAAAGATAATGGGGTAAACAATTTAATAATTGCAATAAATACGAGTATATTAAAATCAAGCAGGAAAGAATAACAAAACAAATTGTAAAAGGTAAATAGAAAAACAAAAGGTCATCACACACTCATGCAGACATACATACACACACAGATGGTTTAATCCATTTTCATTCATCTCTCGACGTAGTTCATTTGCATACTGAAAAAAATCTACAAAGCGAATAACATAGGAAACATCGAGGACAGTGTTATATAAATAAGATATATAATCATCAAAGGCTTATAACATTCAGGCTTAAAAACCATTCCCTACAGGGTAAGGCTGGAAGGACTTACTATAGATATACTTAGCTCTTTAGTAAGATTATAATTTTGATATAATTTCATCTTGTCCGTGTTTGATATGTCCATTTTATTTCAATTATTATGCCTAATAAAGTTTCCAAAAATGCACATCACCATGAAGATATAAAAGGTTTCTTTTAAAAAAATTCATATAAATATGTTTTGAACCAAGTAGATGCATCAAGTATTTCACAGCTATCATTATTTTATACAGTAATTAATAGTGTTTTCCTTTTCAGTGCTGATATATATTTTTCAGTTTTTATAATAAACACATGAAAACATCGAATCATTATTATCGGATTAGGTACGAATATAAATTATTGCGAATTTAAATTAAGATCTTTTTTTTCATGTTAGGGAATTTTTAACGTATTACCCTTATAAAAGTCTTCCTACGATATACCGTTTTGTTGTGTTGCAATAATAGAAAAATTTGCATATATAAATCAGGTCATCATAATCTATCATGTGCCATTTTCTTTCAGAATGTGGGTAATCATGGCTCCCTGTCATTTGCAGTACCAAGCAATGTTTTACTCATTAGCATAACTCTGCCATTTATTCGTATAATTTCTGTATCTCTTTTCTTCACTATGTCCTGGGAGGGTTAATTTCTGTGAGTCATCTTTCCCTATTAAGTGTTTGAGAAAGTTATGTTAAGGAAAAATTCCGTGCAGATCCTATTGAAATCAAATTCCTTCTAATTTGGTTCGTGCGTATTTTTCTCCCGAAATGCATGAAAAAGTTTCATTGGAAGTTTTTTAATGATTGTCATAAAATATCGGAGTTAAATGTTATTTTATCTTCTCATGACACTCATAATCATTCAACAAAGACAAAACATATGTTGGTTATACAATTATTACATTTTCACGTTGATTGCCTTGCAATTTATTCGATAATAACTCAATTAAACCGCATATCATTAACCAACGCCACATGAAATCATGAAAGTATTAGGTGCGTTCCAGAGGTTTTTAGACTTTTTTTTCGGAGAGGAAGTTATAACTGTCCTAGATTATTGTCCATTAAAACTAATAAGCTGACCTACCGAATTTTGTTATTCCAGATTGAAAGAAACGGCTGTAACAGCTCTTTGAACACGCCCAGCTGAACAGTGCTTGTCACAGCTGACTAATTTTCAGAATGTAGTCGAAAACGTGAAGACAACTTGGAAGCTCGCTAAGCAATAAAGTTTTATGTTGACAAGGATGAGCATCAAAACTTTCCCTCGCCTTCCGAACAGTCCAAACCTCTACTTTTGATTGTTTCCCAAACCGATGGATAACTCCAGGGGCATTCGTTTTGAAGGCAATGAGAAGATGACGGAGACTTATGGACACCTTCACTTTAGATGACTTCCATGGGTCATTCACGAAGTTGCTGGGCCATTGAAGTTAGAGGCTCCTACTTCGAAGGCTATTAGAGTTTTCTACGTTTTTGAAATAATTAAATGTCTCTCCTGAAAAAGTCTTAGAACTTCTGGAATGCACCTGGTAATTATCAACAAGAAAAATACGATATAAATTAAAAAAAAAAAAGATTAGACTACTGAAGCTTTAACCCATATATATATATATATATATATATATATATATATATATATATATATATTTATTTAAATCCCATTCAATATAG